GGAGGAGAAGGCGTGAGGAGAAGCGTGTGAGGGAGAGAGGCGCTGGGCCAGCTTTTATGCTGCTCGTGGAGGGGCGGGACAGCCTTGGCCCATGGYCTTGGGGCATTTTGCAGGCAGCAGCTCTTTAATGGCCCAGCCTGCTGAGTCATGAACTGGGGAGTGTTTCCCTTTATGCAAATCTGCAATTTCATGTCCTTCCCTTGAGGCCCTGTCAATCTGACCTTGTAGGCAGCTTTCATGAGCCAGAATTTTTGATCATCTGGATGTTCAGGCTATGTCAAAGAGGGCTGAGTAAGCACTCAGAGCACAGCACAGGCATGATGTCATTAGTGAGCTTATTGTGTGGCACTGGTCTGCTGTGGTTTGTGGGTGCCTTGTGAAGACTGGACTCCTGTTCTGTTCCACTGGATTTACGTAATTCATCGTGTTGCCCCCATGAATGCTGAGGGAGCTGCTGCTGTCCTGGGGAGGTCACTCTGCAGTAACGTGGCAATGTAGCAGTGCGTAGGAGCGTTCCTACAGATGAAAGGGAGCTCATGCCTTTCTATCTTGAACAGGATCAAGAGAGCAGATCTGGAAAAGCAGAGGCTGCTCCAGTTGAACTTGTTCTAGTGTCATGGTCATTTTGGATTTCTCGTCTTTGCACAACTTTGTACTCTGTCATTTAAAGYGAATTCCTTGACCTCATTAAGAAATCCATTAGGCAAAGTGCCAGCCCAGCTTGATCCCTATTTTCCCAGGCTGGTCTGCAACGTCAATTCATTTATTCTGCTTTATTCAAGCCATAACGTTTCATATCTGATATCCTTAATAGTCTGTTTCTGCTWRCAAAACCCAGTWRTTACTAATGGATGGKCAGCGTGGTCCTCTTCCCTCCTCTGTCATGATGCAGACATGGAATTCTTGTGGAATTCTTCATCTCCATGTCTTTCTTTGGAGGCCATGCCCCTCTGACCTTGGCRGCAGCTTTTAAGTGTATTAGAGAGTACAGGCAGGTGTTGATGGTGCATGTCAGGGTGGGCTGAAGACATGACCAAAGCTTTGGGGAGATGTCATCAGTGGGTCATCAGTGAGGCCACCCCATGGCAGTGGTGTGCTGTAGTTTTTGGGCGCATTGTGAAGAGGGGCCCCGAACCATCACAGCACTGTCAGGGGGATGCTCTGGGATTTTCAAGCTGGTCACAGCACTTTGTGTCAGGAGTGCTGCTTGTGAGGGGGCTGCTCTCTCCATGATGTTCCCTCCCTCCCAACCATGTTTCCCTCTTTCAGAGCCTGTTTCTAGGCCAGGCCTTTCCTGTTGGAGACGGGAAAGCAATCCCTGTGATTTAGGGGCGCCTCCCATGCTCCCCACAGTCTTGTGTTGGTTCATCCATAGCACTCACCTCAGCTGGGCCCAGCAAGGTCACACTGTGGGGTCCCAGTGCTGAACTGTGACACATGGAAAGGAAAACTGGTAGAGGACAAGGAGTCCAAGATGCATGAGGAACAGAATTCCCCAACAACTGAATAATCTACCCTCCAAAGACATGTGTCTGTGCTGTAGAAAGGCAGAAGGAATTGGTTGTCCAGTCCCCACCACTGGTGGGGCTCCACAGTGGAAAAAGGACACGGACGTAATTGACCAAGAGTACTGAAGTGACAGCATGGCACTGATGGGACGGAAGTATCCTCAATATGAGGGAAAACAGAGTGCTGGCTGTCCACTGAGGCAGGGGACAAAAATGGAACTGGGAAATCTTTTCAGTGTGCAATGGCATGTGCTCAGTGACAACACCCCAATTCACCTGCGGTTTGGTTGAATCTTCTACGTGTCCTAATGGGCGACATCAACAAGAAGACAATGGTCACCAGTTCTCCAAATTAAGAGGTTCTGTCAAGGTCAGATGGACTTGGCCTCAAGGGAAGGGCATGAAAGTGCCAATTTGCATGAAGGAAAACAATGCCCAGCTCATGATCTCATACCAGGCTGGGCCATTGAAGAGCTGCTGCCTGCAAAATGGCCCAAGGCCATGGGCCAAGGCTGTCCCGCCCCTCCAGGAGCAGCATAAAAGCCGGCCCAGCGCCTCTCTCCCTCACACGCTTCTCCTCACGCCTTCTCCTCCTGCTCCTGCCCACAACCAGGTGAGCCTCAAGCCCCTGCCCCTCCTGCTCCTGCCCCCCTGGCCCCTCTCTGCCAGCACGCTCCGCCCCAGCCTCAGCAGCCCTCACGCCTCCCCACAGCCCCACAACAGCCTCCACACTCCCCAGCCCTCCGCAATCACCGCCCCTCAAAGCACCCCCACGGCCCTGCCCTGCCTCACCCCCCTCTCTTCCAGGGACCCTCCACACCACACCCATGGCCTGCTACGACCTCTGCCGCCCCTGTGGACCCACCCCGCTGGCCAACAGCTGCAACGAGCCCTGTGCCCTGCAATGCCAGGACTCCCGCGTTGTCATCGACCCTTCCCCTGTGCTGGTCACCCTGCCAGGACCCATCATGACCTCCTTCCCCCAGAACACCGCCGTCGGATCCACCTCCTCGGCTGCCGTGGGCACTGAACTCAGTGTCCAGGGACAGCCCATCTCTGGGGGATTTGGTGGCTTTGGCTATGGCCTTGGCTATGGCCGTGGATTTGGCTACGGGCTGGGCTATGGCTACGGGCTGGGAGGCCTGGGCTGCTAYGGCAGAAGGGGCGGCTACACCTGCTAAGGGCCCTCAGCACCACCCCTGACACCACCCACCCACGCCCTGGAACACACCCCAGCCATTGAGGACGCCTCTCTGGTCCAAGGCTCTCAGAGGTGCTCAGCGCTTCCAGCTCCTGCTCTCAGGGCCCCAAGCAARGCAGCAGCCAAGGGGCCAGCCCGGGCTGCCTGCAAACGTGGCCCATCTGCCTCCTGCTCTTCTCCCACTCCCTGCTCTGCATGGCCCCTTGGGCTGAATCCAGTCCCCGTGGCTGCAAACCCCTTCTCCCAAGCCACTGACCACTGGACACTCTGCTGGGGCTGCTGCCATTGCAGGGCAGGAATGCCTTGGTTTTTGGCCAAACCTCCTGCAAATGAAGGACATCAGCTGATGGTTTCCCTTTTTGTCCCTCTGCCCTACTCCCTTCTATTTGCTACTCACTCTTCTTTTGCCTCAATAAAGCTCTGTTGCATCACAGGCTGAGATGTCTCTTCTTCCTTCACTGGCACACTTTGCTCTTCCACCCCAACACAGAAAGCCTTCACTTGCTTCATCCCTGGCCTGGACACACTCATGCAGGTCTATCTCTTCCTGTCCCAAGCGGTGTGTTCGCTTTGGTTGCACACCAGTTGTTTCAGACCCTCATATTCTTCCATGCCCTTCTCCAGACCCACTCAAGTCAACTCATGTCATCCTTATTAACTCATCCCAGAGTTGAAAGCACAACTCCAGTCTCACCAGAGTGGAGCAGAGGGGAAAAATCCCCCCTCACCTGTTGCCCACAGTGTGGGGATGAGCCCAGGACAGAAAGGATTGCTTTCCAACATGTTCATGTGGACAGAGTATGTCCAATTCTTCATCCACCAACACGCCAAGTCCTTCTCAGAAATGCTCTCAATCAACTCATCCCCAATCTGTGACTGAGATTGCTCCAATGCAGATGCAGCATCTTGCACTTGGCTCTGTCTAACATCACGAGTTTTCCACCAGCCCAACTCCCCAGGCTGTCCAGACTGCTCTGGATGCCATCCCTTCCCTCACATCATCAACCACACCGCTCACCTTGTTGTCATTTCCAATCTTGCCAAGGGGAAATCCTAACCATGGTCTGTGTCCCTGAATAAATGAAAAGTCCAAATGATCCCAAATATGAGTCTCTGTGGGTCACCGCTCATCCCTGTTCCCCACACAGGGCCATAGACCTGTGGACCACAAGTCTTTGAGTGACACCATGCCAACAATTCTTTATCCATCAAATGCTCCAAATATCGACTTCACATCTCTTCAAGTTGGAGACAAGGATGTTTTCTGGCACAAGGAAAAATGCTTTGCACAAGTCCAGGTACAGTATATTGGTCCCCTTTCTCTCATCCACCAATGTTGGAACCAATAACAACTCATCAAAGCATCCAAAAATGTCAGATGGACACAATCTCTAGAGTACAACATGGAATTGCAGATGTTTTGGAAGGAACACATTCCCAAGCTCTTGACTTCCCAGGTTGTGCTAGGCAAGACCTTCTGCCTGGATAATGCCCCAAGCTCACAGGCCAATGTTGTCCCAAACATTCAGCCTTGGATCATCCTCAAGCACACACTCTCAATCTTTTCAGGCAAATTCTTCTCTTCCTTATTCCCAGTAACCCAGAGATTAACACAGTACTCCAATATTATCAGAGAGGAGCAGAGGGGCACAATCTGCTGCAATGGAACTGGAGCAACCCCAAACATGCAGGATACAGGCTGGGTGATGAGGGGATAGAGAGCAGCCCAAGGAGGAGGATGTGGGGTGTTGATGGATGAAGAATTGGATGTGCCCAGACCATGGGAATGTGCCGAACAGAAATCTCTCCTGTGCTGGGCTCATCCCCGCAGCATGGACAGCATGAGGAAGTGGTGGAATCTGGCCCTCTGCTCTCCTCTACTGATACCAAAGTTCTGTGTTGAACTCTGAGACTCCAAACATAAGGAGCACATGGACCTGCTTGAGCAGATCTGCAAAGGATCCTGGAAGATGATGAGGGTCAGCAGTAAATGATGTCCAGCAAAAGTGAACACACCACCCAGAGGGGATTGTGCCAGAGGCAGGGATAGATCTGCATGAGAGTATCTGGGGCTGTTATTCAGGAGCTGAAGGGTTTCTGTGATGCACTGGAAGAGCAAAGGGTGAGAGCTGGCAGTGGAAGCCACAAATATTTCCTACAGGAGCTCTTGTGGCAGTTTGTCACCCACCACATTGGCCAGGACAAACCTGGCTTGGTGCTGAATGAGACTGGAAGAGCCTTGGGAGAAGACACATGAAGGAGTCACCGGAGTCTGGGATGCAAGAGAACTTTATTGAGGTAAAAGAGTGAAAAGCCATGAGCAGCAGTGGAAGGGAGCTGGGCTGATGTGTGAGTAGTGAGATGATCGGCCGAAGGCCTTTGCTTCCTGGAGCTGCCAGCGCATCAAGGTCTTCGGGTACCAGAGTGAGAGGATGGAGTCAGGTGGTGCTGAGGGCCCTTAGCAGATGTAGCCGCCCCTTCTGCCATAGCAGCCCAGGCCTCCCAGCCCGTAGCCATAGCCCAGCCCGTAGCCAAATCCACGGCCATAGCCAAGGCCGTAGCCAAAGCCACCAAATCCCCCAGAGATGGGCTGYCCCTGSRCACTGAGTTCAGTGCCCACGGCAGCCGAGGAGGTGGATCCGACGGCGGTGTTCTGGGGGAAGGAGGTCATGATGGGTCCTGGCAGGGTGACCAGCACAGGGGAAGGGTCGATGACAACGCGGGAGTCCTG